CCAGGCTGTAGAAAGAACCAAAGTTAATCCCAAAAGCCAAAGCTCAGGGTTATAATTTATTATTTTCTTCTTATTTATGTTTACGTTAATATTCACTTACTTAATAATTTTCACTTATTATCTTAACATTCTATAGAAAATACTCTATTCAATAAATATTGTGTTATTGAACCTCATTCTGTTCTATATTGTTGTACTTATTCTTTGACTGTTTTGTTTAAAGGAGGGAGGATTGTATGGGAGCGCTGAAGTGTCAGGTGTGACTGTGGCAATGGCAAATGGTTTACATAGCTGACGACATCACAGGTCAGGTAGAGGCCCCTTAGCAGAATTTTGCTTAGGGCCCCAGGGAGGTCAGGATCGGCACTGGGTGTAGCAGTCGATTCTGTTCCTTACCGGAATTCCTGTTCCCTTTACGCAATCATACTACAAATCATGCGTAGTTGCCCAGATGAGCAAAAAGCACAATTGAATGTACGGGAAGCCAAAAGGTTAAAAAAGGATTGTATTTTTTCCGAAATCTAAGCGTTTTTTTTTTTTTTTTATTAGAAGCGAGTTTTCCCCCATCTGTCAATTCAATCCAGATTATTTATTTTTAAAAAAATAATAATAATAATTAAAAACCAATAAACAATACTATGAGGAACTCTTTTTCTCATGTGTATTTTGGTGACATTTAACATATTGTTAATACATTTTGTATACTGTTTACAAAGTTGTATATCATAAACCTGTCATCTTTGACGTTTGCAATCTTTTTAAATAATAATAAGACCATAATATGAGGCATTGCGTTTGGACATAAACACGATCAGATAAGGCAATTTGTATGGGCAAAATTCAACTGAATATATTCCTTCATATAGCCCGTGAGTTTTGGGGGTAGTGCCCTTTTTTCAGGTCAGAGCAACTGCCCCACAAAATTCCTGTGCACGTCCCTGGTCCAGACGCTTATCCAAAGAGACTTACATTGCATTTCAAGGTACTTTCTTATCAGTTCTTGCTTTCCCTTGGAATCGAACCCATGACCTTGGCGTTGCAAGCACCAACACTCTACTGTTTGAGCTACAGGAAAGCAGTCATATACATAACATTATAATGAGATCACTATTGCAATATAATGTTGTAAATTATTTGATTTAGTTGCTCGTGTTTCAGTGCGTTGTTATGGAGAGAACGCATCCACAACAGACGGTTACAAGCACGGTCAAGTTCACGTGCGCATTTGCATCCTTTTGTGCAGATGCAAGTTGTAAAATTACTTTTATGTTGTATATATTAGATTATAAAACGTTTCGTTCCAATCCTTGATTCTGATTGGTCAATAGCTGTGCTTTATTCACGATAAAACACGGCTATGACTGCTTCACCCAACGGTTCTATTTATCACTGCAAAACACCCTTAGCAACCACCCTTATCAACATAAACAAAGAAGAAAACGTAAGAATTAAAAGGCTGAGCCCCAACTAAGGAGAACCGCGTCAAATATCACCACAGTGGAGCCGATTGAAATGAAACAAATATTTAATGCATGCACAATAAACGGAGATGTTCAAATAAATTTAAATAAACAACAATGAAAAAAATGTATCTTGTTAGGCAGTATTCTAGCAACTAAATTAATAACATTAATAAAATAGATTAAAGACCCACTCCGATGAAAATAATGTTTTTCTAGGTGTTAACATGTTCTTGTGGCATTTTTCTGATGTTAGAGGACATATCTTGAGAAAAATAAGCTCAAAGTTGTATTTCTGAGTATTTCTACATTCAAATGGCTGTGAATCAGTAGCAGACGCTAAAATGCCGGCTAAAATAGACTGGAGTTGTGACGTAGTAACTCCACTGGGCGTCTCCACACGCGACGTCTTGGAGTGAAATAATGATCGGTGATCGGTGATAACTTTGATTAACTTCGGATAATAATAATTAACGTGTATATAATACTGTTGCCCCACCGGTATTGGGGGTGTAAGCTAGCGGGAGAGACAGAGCTCTCAGCAACGGGCAGGGGGAGGGTCGTCTCCGTGCCAACGGCTCCGCCCACAACGCAGAGGCGAATTGCTAATGAGCTACTGCAGCTCTGCTGAAGCGAAGTCCCAGAAAACGGCACAGGTTTTGTGATTTTGGCTAAATATGGCATAATCATAATTTAAAGACCACTGGGAATGTTTAAAAATAGCTCAAAATATGATCGGAGTGGGACTTTAAAGACTTATCAAAATATGTGCCCTTGTGTTTTTATTTATGTAAATATTTAGTAAGGTTTATTTATAAGTGCAGAGAGAAAATAACGGAATAAACAGAAAATGAAAGTTTTCTCATGCTGAGAGTTAAGCTATATTTGTGTGAGGAAATATAACATATTGTGTTGTAAAAAAAAAAACGTTTGAGAACGGTTCCTAAGTTGTTTTTATTTGAGCTTTCATGCATATTACACATTGAAACGTTGTTGCTGTTCACAGTCAGGGACTAATTTTTTCTAGCGGATGGAAGACTTTTAGTGATTTTACTTCATGAAAGTTGCGCTAATACATATCTTTTAACCTTAATATTTGTATTGTGTGGTAACTGTTTTCCGCTTTGCGTCGTGCCTAACAACGCCCTTCAGCCGTGACTTATTCACGATACAGCACACCCTCTCGTACCTTATTGCTTAATTAATTTCATATAGGATGCGTTTGGCAGAGTTTATTAACAAATAGCTAAGCTTTTCATTCACTCTTCAGTGTCTGCTCATACTCGTTTTTGAGATCTATCAATACACAGAGCGCTGACTTAATGAACAGTGTGCAGTGCGGAAGATTCCTCAGAAATATCACTGTGTGTACAGCAATCTGATCTAAGAGGCTGTTTCACAGCAATCCCCATGTGCATTAGTCTGACATAATCTCAGTAATTATGATAGTAGTGTCTTTAAGAGCCACATCAGAGGGACAGAGAAATAAGAGGTCTTAGGTTCTTTAGAAGTACTTGCAATTATCTATCTTGAGAGCATGACATAGCTCTCTTTATTTTGTCAATTGATCATCAGCATTAGTTTGAATGTTAGTCCATTATGACTGACCTAGATCAAATGTTTTGATTTTTTTTAATTCATTTATTTGTGTACGGTATTGTTCTAAGGCCAAACAAATGCATTTAGACTGTTTATAAAAATGTCAAAATTGTTTCTTCACCCAGAAATGTAAATTTAAATATTTATTTCAGATGTATCATGTATGACTATGTATTATGCACAATTTTTTTTTTTTTTTACCCTCTGGTGGTGTTCAAAAATTTGTTTTTGTTCTAAAAGAATTCTACTTCATTTGAATGGTATGAAACTCAGTGACTTTTGTGGCAGGTGCTATGTGACCACAACATTTTTTTTTGTGGAATTAAAGGTATTGTAGGTAGGAATTTTATAAAAAAAAACTTTTTTCCAAATTTGTTTAAACTTTCTGTATATATCAATGCATAATTAAAATGTAAGTACTCTGATAAAAAGAGTATAAAAGTCGAATGACTCTAGACCGTTTAATCGGCACTAAACACAGCTCATTATTTCCATCCGGGACTAAACAAAGGATTGGCTTAGGCGACTGTCACTCTCTCGCAACCATGGCAACCACCCTTTTGCCACACAGGACCTGCCCACTTGCCCATACCCGTTTGATTTGAGGAATTCAAGAGGCACGGAACCTAAGAATAGCAAAACAATGGCAGAGAAAGACCAATCAAAATTCACATATGCAGTTCGCGAAGGCAAAAAAAGGAAGACAGTAACGTTACTAGAAAAGGTAATGAACAAAAAGTCTTTGGATAAACAACGAAATAAAACGCGTTTCAATATCGGCGTGGCTTTCCAGCGATGGCGAGAACTGAGAGACCTCAAGGGGCTGAAAAGTGACGCCTTGTGACGACCTCCTCTGCTTCGCCCTCGACCCCGGATCTGTCCTCGAGCTGACGATGCGGTACTTGTCTCTGTGTAGTCCTCATCATCAGAGTCAACAATGCTTTCAACATGGAAACTCTTACATGCAGAACACCATAGCCTATGTTATGAATGTTACACGAAATTCATCTTCATCACAGTGTAAAAGATGGCAATGGAAAAACGTGTATCGTGCAACCTGTTTTTAGCTTTGCCTTATAGATAACTAGCTCGTTAGCGAATCAATAAATACATATTTTAAACTTTACCAATATCAATATGCTAGCTTGATAGTGAGTACTAAAATACATCTTATTTGTTTATCTTCATAATGATAAAGTTAGATTTTTTTATTACATGTGATTCTGATATGATGTCACTACATGCACTGCGCTCCTTCCTCTCCGCTCGTCTCAGGTAAATAATGCGTCTTCAGCTCAGCGGTCGGAGTCGCGCGTTCATGTGTTTTTGGGGCGTGGCTTTGGGAGGAGCCCAGAAGGGAGGGGGTGGAGTGAATGGAAATAATGAGCTGTCTTTAAAACAGTCGTGAGAGGTCTACAAACACTCGATTTTTATACTTTCTTTTTCAGAGTACTTACATTTTAATTATGCATTGCTATATACAGAAAGTTTAAACAAATTTGGAAAAAAGTTTTTTATAAAATTCCTACCTACAATACCTTTAATAAAAAAAAAAAGCTAAATGATCGTAAAAAATAAATAAATTAGTCACACTTGTGTTGTATAGGAAATTAATGGGAAATACAAAAAATATGAAAAAAAGGGAGGAATTTGGGTTACAAAGAAAGTTACATTTCAGTTACAAGTGTGACTCCCAACTGAACAATACCAGAGGGTTAAACATAATATCCAGCACACTGCTCAAGTTTGTATCATCACAAAAATATTTTTAATGAGCAACATTTTGGTCAAATGTGAAGGATTTATATGTTTCTAGTTAATATTTCAATTTCCTCACTTATAGTTCTCCCTCTTGTTTTAAAATGTTAAATATTTTTGTTATATTTCATCCATAGGGCGGTGTATCATATATCATATTTCTGTGTTTGTGTCATCTGCTAGACCCAGAGGTGCACCCCCAGAATGAGGAGTACTGGGGTCATGTGAACCCTATTGGTCCCCGGGCCTGTTATGATGAGGGAAAGCGTGTTGCTGAGACGATGTGCTATGCCTACATGAAACAGGTAGGAGTGAAATTGAGAAAAAAAAAAATTATCAACGACCTTTTTGTCCATGACCAAGACGATGACGAGACGACACCAAGGTCATTAAACAATGTCTGTGACTATATCAGCATGCAAAGCCTTTGATGAAAAAGGACAAGGCTAAAATGTAGTTGAAAAATAAAAACCTTAGCAAAAACTCTTTATTTCTGTCGACAAAATATTGCAGCTCTACGAGCTTTCATGCTTGCGGTTGCTAAATTTTAATTCTAGAGTTTAAATCCTTCAATCAGAGCATTTCTTTTACTTTTTCTGCCCAATGTTTTACTTAATCATTGCAATATGGCATCCATGCGCACAAACTTTTTCTGCACTGCGGAAGCGCAGGCGATGATCTGAAAACACAATCATCAACAAACAAGCTGGAGTTCAGCGGTTCTCATTTGAGATATTCTGCTTAAATGAAAGTTTCATTCAGTCAGTCTGTGTTCCTTCACGAGCCGCTTGCGCTGTTTGCTGCGACTAAACCGGCGATCAAACCTTCTCAGCGATGACCTATAACCGTTATATGACCAAAAATCCATATAACGGTATTTTTCTAAATTATACCCGTTTCACGGTATATGAGTTTTTTTTTTTTTTTTTTTTTAAGCATGACTGGGTGTTAACCACATATTCTGACTGACAGAGATAGGAAATACTGCTGTAGATTGACTTAGAATGGGCTACTTTACTGCCATGAGTGAATATTGTAGAAACAATTCACACTATACAGGTTTGCAAGGCTGTTTACAAAGAGGTGCCAGGCCAGCAGGAGGCGCTTTAGGAGCGTCAGAAACAGCGGTTTCCCCGGTAACGGCTGTACACAAAGCAGCGCAGCGCTCATAAACGCTGCTTTATCTGATAAAGATAAAGAAAGATTCAATTGAAATAACATCAAAACTTTTCTAAAGACCGTCAGTTCACTTCAGATACATTCATATGAAAACACCCGTGACTTTGAAACGCGCAGTGCTCATGTTTATTCAATGATGTCAATGCCAACCACAAATAGATTTTCCAAAAGGCTGTGTTGGTATTGTGAACCAATGTAAGGGAAACACTGTAATATAATTTGACAGCTATCAATTATAGTTTAACCTATCCATCTTCACCGTCACGCTTAGTGAACACATACCACAGCGCAACAGTGTTAAGCAACCCCTCTCAAACAGTGTCGCGCCGCGTTATAATCGTTGTTAAAGGGACATACACTGGTTTTGCTATATATTAAAAATTCATCTCACAACAAAAATAAACACCGGTATTCGGTATGAACCAGTATTCCGCCCAGCACTAGGAATTACTATTAGGAATTTCACCTTTTTAATTTTTGAGAGAAGTTTCTTGTGTTACCAGTTTTAATAATGTAGAGAGTGTGTTCATTTATGTGATAAACAGCATATAATAAATCAGGAAAGTGGATGATACCCTAACCATGAGTATGGATTGACATTCTCTTTTTTGTTTATAGGTGAAAGTGCAATAATTCTGATGAAATGTAAAAATAAATTTCTCAAATGACATTAATTGTCGCTTTTATAATTTTGAACAAAAGAATAATTATCAATTGAACCATTATACAGCAGGACTAATATGTGACATTTTAGTGACTAAAACAGCCAACTAAAACTTGACTAAACAAAAACAGGGCAAGGTACATTTACCACTTGCTAAGACTAAATTTAAAAATAGCTAACGAAATTAACAGTCACAACTGGATTTCTGCACTTGATTTTTTTTTTTTTCACTCTGCTCTCTGGGTGTATTAATGTAGAGAATTAGACGCCTGGGAGTTTGCGCTGAAAAATGTGCCATCCCATTCTTATTCTAGTCTACTCTGTTCTTTGCTGTCGCATTCTTACCCGAGCAGCATACCATAGAAGTAGACGTATTGTGTAAGAGCCAATTACCAGAGGAAGAAGCTAAGAACTTGAAATAATGATACAAGAATTGCAGCTATTGATTGTACATCAAAGGGCTAGCATTTCGATGCTTGGAGGACTGACAAATATTTGTGTGGAAAAAAAACAAGAGAGCTTGGCAACAGTAGCACGGTTAGCTGAAAAACTGAATGTGAATCATAAATGATGAGCCAAACCATTTGCAGCATTTTTGGCTATTGTTATTCAGCAAGCATTCATATGCACATATTTGTGTTGGAAGTGTACATATGAATGTTTTTACAAAAACAAAAATCATGATTCACTGATTATTTTTGTACTAAAATGTATTCTACATTCACAAAAAAAAAAAAGTAGGAGTAACTTAAACCACACGTAAGCAAAAAATCACATACTCTAGGTGCCATATAAACGTGTTAAGATTACATTTTATATATAGATATTTCATCTTAAATATGTTTCATTATACACACAGTAAAATAGTAAGAAAATCTTTGTTATAGCTTGATCTGCGAGGTTTCTCTGTATACCAACACGGATACGCAAACAGCTGGTGAATGAAATGTGTAATCTGTGCCTGTATAAAAGGTATTTATTTAGTTTGAACTGGTTTTGATGATGACACACCTGGCATTGCTTGAGGATCTTGCTGCGCGTGCTCTCAACCAGGGAAGAGTGCATCTTTAGAGAGCGTCATATATTTGCGGACTGACGAAAGACTGTAAAGGAAAGGTTGTGCGGGAAGCCCTTATAGCAGGGGTGTCTAAATCCAGCCTGTGGCCCGGGTATGAATTTGAAACGGCCTGCAGCTTGTCTATTAAAATATATTACATGTGGGATGTGGCCCACCACGCATAATTTATAGACCTTGAATTTTCACAACGTCAACACAAGGTGAGAGCATCAGACTTATATGGAAGCTTGTTTCCACCACTGAATAAAAAATAAAAACTTTGATACTTTATATCACAATTTGGACCTTTTTCTCACAATTGTACGTTTACATCTCACAATTCTGATATGAATTATATAAATTCACAATTGCTAGTTATAAAGTCAGAATTGCTAGATATAAACTCACAATTGCGAGTTATAAAGTCCGAATTGCGTGTTATAAAGACAAAAACACTGTTTGGAGTATGGATACTCACTCATTATATACATTTTGCACATTTTGAACAAATAAAAGTTATATAGTGTACCTTTAAAATGGATTAGTATTAGATGCTAAATTAAACTTACTAATGCTTACATTTAAAGAGCTAAACATAATAAATACATTCATAATTAGGACAAAATGAAGTCTTGCACACCTTGGCATTATCTAAATGTTGATATCTTTGGGCTCTGAGAGACATAGGCAAGATCACAATGATCATCTGGCTCTCTGATTCTCTGTGACAGCTTCATTTGCTGCCTGTGTCTGCTGGTTGAACATTCTGATATGATTGATTGGCACCACCCTTTGGTGCAGCTGATTTTATCTGTTTTTCTTCACTTGGTGTCACTCTCAGATTGTCTTTATCGCATTCACTGTTCCACCAGTCCACATATTGTCGCTCTACATGTCAACACATGAGAAATGCTGCCTCACAAGTTTGATTTGAATATCATCAGTGATGTGTCGCATCTGGCAAATGTGGCATCTGACACTGACATTAAAAGGAAATTCGGTGACATTTGAGAAAAATAAAGTCTGTTTGACTGGAGAAAAATAAAAGTAATTTTTCTGTTATTTAAAACTGTCATTTTGTTTGTTTAAAAATAATCTGTTAACCACCCTTTATGCAAGGTGAGGATAATAGGCCAGTTTTGTTCAAACATCTTTCTGATTTTTTGTTTTTGCATAAAACACAACTTACAAATAGGAACTCCCGCACGCTATCAGTACTTGCAAATAAAACTTTAATTTAGCGGCAACGTTTCGGTCTTACGACCTTCATCAGGCATATACCAATGAAACACAACTTAAAATGATAGTTCACACAAAAATGAAAATTGTTATCATTTACTCACTCTCATTTTAAACCTGTATTTCTTTCTTTCTTATGTGTAAAAAATAAATAAAAAATAGGCCAAGCCAAAAATGGCAAAATATTTAGTGGTCTTTTAATAGTCTTAACCATTTTAATCATAAATCATTGGTCAGGAAATTAGAAAGAATTGCACAGGAATAGCCTTCCCCAACTTGCAGACAGCTTTTTACAGGAAGAAGAGTCAGTGTTGTTCCACTCAATGTTAATGGCTTCAAACAGTTCATGAGTAGTTGAAAAATGTCTCCCAGCTCGTGTTGAGTTTAATATGAGACCAAATATTAACAATAGCACAAGTGCTGAATTCAGTTTACTTTCATGGCTTATTTCACTTGAACAGTCAAATACACACATTTGTCAAAAATGCCCATCTTGGTGAGTATTCAGGTAAACACAGTCAGTTATGTCTAAAGTGAAAGTAAAGCGTTTGGTGAAATTATCATTATATTGGATCGATGCAGAAGGTCCTAAAGTGACAGCAGCCTCATGTAAGCTTGTCGTTAATGTTAATCAAACAGCAAAAGAAAAATAATTATTTACTACTCTTGACTAAATATTTTTCATAGCTTTATTAAGAATCTGTATATGTAATTCATACAGTGCAGTTCATACTATGCCATTGCTATGCACTATAGGGTTCAAATCTGGACTCAAAACATCAGCCTAATGGACTTGTTCTCAAGCCACTTCTTGGTTGTCTTCACAGTTTGGGCAGGAGAATTGTCTTGTTTAAAAATAGCATCTGATTATTCCTCTTAAGATAACAACCTTTTATTTGTAGGAAGCAAGCCATTCTGCAATATTCTCCTGTTACTTCAAAGTATTAATTGACTTTTCACCGGGAAGTATCTCACCAATATCAGCAGCTAGTAGTCAAATATTAGATTAGGTAGACCTAGAAATTGACCGGTCTCATTTCTGTACAACTCCCTCCCCTAGCTATTTCAATATATATATATATATATATATATATTTTTTTTTTTTTCTCACCCATCTTAACATCTGTGTCTGAGGCAAAATCATTGGGCTGGTGGAAGTGCAATCA